CCCCAAAACCCCAAAACCCCAAAACCCCAAAACCCCATTTGGACTAATTTAGATTGATAAACTACTACGTATCAAATCGACCGCACTAATTTGCTGATTTTAGAATATTTAATACAAATTTTCTTATTCCTTGATCTTCTGAACAATAGGAATAACCAGGCAAAGTGCAATAATGACGATGCCGATCATGTCAGTGAAGATGAAATGGTAGTTGAAAATTACGATATCTGCCAGAATCGTGAAGATATTTTCACTATAAGCGATGGGTGCCAGTCCAGATGCAGAGGTGTACTTTGTAGATGCCATAAATGTGAATTGTCCAGCAACCACGCCTATGAACAAGATTCCCAAGCATATTAGATTTGTGCCTTTGTATTCTTCGAAATGTAACAATCCAGGCATGAAAATCATTATAAATATGTTCTGCAGCAGAGTCCCTAGTCCGAAGTACAATGGCGAAATCAGCGTGTGCACGTTGTTGAGGCTCATTGTTCTGAGAATTACGAATAATAAACCATATAGGAAGGCTGAAGTCACCAATAAGCAATATCCGAGAATCTCATTTGACGCGACTTCTGGGTCCTCAGATTTGTTCAATGTTAATAGATACACTCCGAATATCGAGAAGAGAATCAAGCCAATATTTTGAAATGTAATCTTCTCCTTAAGGAAGATTGCAGCGGTGATTGTGCAAAATAAGGGGCTCATACTCCAGATAAGGATCCCTTTGCCAATGGATACATACTGTAGGCCAAAGAACAAGCAAATGTTGTTGAGTAAGCCAACCGCGACTCTTAGCAAAATAACCAATCGCATTTTAGGAGTAAAACTGAAGATGTTCACATTCACTTTTTCAATCTTAGCGTAGATGTAGTAAAATGGAACCAAGGAATAAGCCACCACTGAGATGGAGTCAAACGCAGACATATTTGGAGATATAGAGAACATATACTTTATAGAGATATGAATAATCGTCCAGATCAAAGTTGTGGTAGCCATCAATAAAATCCCTTTGATGTAACCACTTTTTTCATTGGTGTCTTTGTCAGACACTCAAGAAACTTCGAACAAAGATACTGATATCTTAGAAGCATTGCTTAGCTTACTCCTAGATCTCATAACTCCAACAGGGGGATCAAGGTTTGTGTAGGGATCTTCAATTTCAAGGAGCTGGTAATCCTTCTGAGGCTTAGCCTCCCCATCCTGGTCATGTTGCGCAGCGCTCGAATTCATTAAAATACTATAAGTTCAATCAGTCAGCAAGTCATGGGGTTTTGGGGTTTTGGGGTTTTGGGG